CCAAGAAGAATTAAACCTGCGCTTAGTCCCGTAGATATCTCGCTGAGGAAACTTATGACTTCGAGGTTGACAAGGGCCCTTGAGTAGATAATGTCGGCGAACTTGATCGCGAATATTTGGATCGTAATCTAAGATACGCTTCGGTGTGCCAGATCTGATGGGAGATTTTCCAGAAGTTTGTCAAGTTCGGTGCTCTTTGAATTTTCGCCAAGATCGGTGCTCTTTGAATTTTGATTATCGAGCTTACTCTTCTTCTTAGATGACAAAAGAGTTGAAGGTTCCTCAATATTTACTACTTTTCGATAGTACTTCTCCATTATTGTAACTCTGCAAGCAAAAATTGATTTCAATCAATATAAGAATTCTACAAAATAAGAAAACTCAATTGTAATTGAAGCTCGCCATATTACTTATTTTAATTGGCAATTTTCAGTTCTACAAATTCAATCTTTAATCTTTATTTATTCATGTTACCAACATGGCTTTTCAACATTTTGAAGCCAAAACAAAAGAAAACAAGAGTTGCCTTACAAATATATATGCAATCAGTGAATGAAAATTGAAAACAAAATCAAAAGCCAAAGTGTCTGATTCAGTAAATTAAATTTCTATTAAAATGAATACGAATACTAAGTCTAGCAATTAGCATAAAAATCTCGATTGTTTCTCTATTGCTACATGCTACTCAAAAAAATACATCGAAAAAAAAAAGAAAAGAAAAGCTGAAAACTCCAAATACACACTTCAATAAATTAAATTGCTAATTAATGGTCTAACAATTAGCATAAAAATCTACTCAATAAAATACAGAAAAAAAAAAAGAGGCTGAAAACTACAATTGGATTATAGTTATGAGCTGACCTTGATAGCTCCTTGAGAAGTGATTTTCTTTTCAATTCTATGTACGCCTAATTCACAAAAACCGGAAGAATCAAATATTATGGAAGAAGATGAGAGATTGGGGATCTTGTGAGTTGTGAAGGTTAAACCCCTTTTTTTCTTGTCTGCTGTTGTGCGTGTGTAATGGGACAAAAATCAAGTTTTTATTTTTTTTTTTATTTTTTTATTTTTATTTATTAAGACCACAACTACATTTAAATATACATGTTATGCTTTATTTGGTCCACAAAAGTTTCTCAATTGTTTTCCAATAGAAACATTAAATTCATGTTCTTAATGGGCCACCCCAAGTACCTATTAAATATTTCTTAATAGTTGGGCTATCATTAACTTTGTAGCCCAAATTTAAATGAAACCAAGACAGATGCTTTAAAAAATTAAAAAAAAAAAACTTACCTTCGTCTTCTTTGCTCAGCTGCCCCTCTGCGCGAGATTTCAACCTGGGCAAAAGCTCTATTTTGA